CTCGAACAGTTTTGTTCCCATTTCGAATCCAATAATACTGACAATGTTTTTGTTTGCTTCATATGTACGGTTGGAATTTTATTTCAATCTACAGTATCTCATTTCAGATACTAACCTTTTCTCTTTCGGATAACTACAATGATGACTATGCCAAGTATTGCTAGACATAGAACTCCGCCAATTATAACCCCTGTATAAATATAATAGTTATATGATGGTGATGGTGGAACTGGGGACTGGGTAACTTGTGTTGATGACAACGTTGGAGCTGTTGTAGACGTAGATTCTACTCTCCATGTTGATGATTCTGTACCAGTTGGTGTGTGACCGCCATTGGGTGATATAATGATTTGTGGTTTACCAATGAATGGCTGACCTGAATAAGAAGATTGTTATACCATTATTACAGCTGTTGATAAACTGGGGCATAATGTAGAAATTTCCATCTAAAAAGCAAAAACCTAGGTCCGGTGTGCTGTACATGCTATAGATCCCTAAACAATAGCCTATGGCTTGGTTGTTTTAAACCTCCGATTTCGTCAAATGTAGTGAAAGGAACTGGTTTCTATAAATGTGAAATATCCGACGAATTCGAGAAATTAGAAGATTTTGACCTTTTAATAATCTCAAGAGAAAATCATCAAATTTTGATAAAAGGGAACAAAATTACTTACGATTTTTAACAGTTAGATATATAGCGGAACTGACGGCACCATCATTATTGATGTCACCACATGACCAATTACCAGTATGGTGGTGACCCAATGTGATATTCAGATAGAATGTAGTATTGGATTCATTAGAACAGAAACAGTCAACTGATTTGTTACTAGATTCAGTTTTTTCACAAAATCTGGCTTTTCTCAAGTACAAAGAACACAACTTTACCCCATTAAAGAAAAAACGTATTGCTGCCGGCAAACTTTCAACGGAAGGCAGAATCATTTTACAGGTCCATAATAATCCATCGCCTTCGATATCTTTATCATTATTAGTACTCAACTCAAATTGAAGGCCTGAAAAATAATATATTAGTAAGTTGTAATTTTTAACCAATCGAAGTGTGTCCTGTAGAACCTGTTCCTTGATAAAAATTAGGCATTGTGGGACACCAAAACGTATCCGCTTTTTGCCGTCTGTTTGGAGAGAAAAAAACACATTCTTTCCAAGTAAAAATTGCAATGTAAGGTTTGATTATTATCTGGGCTTCAATACTTTACCGAAAATCTTGCTAAATTCTGAACCGTACATAATCATCGAAATATGTAATGTTTATGTTCGCAAACAAAGCATAATAACGAGTGATTTGTTTTGATAAAATTTGCTACCAATACAGCAGGGCCAATTTTGATTGGACAATATTTTATTATGAATACGTAATTTCTCTCACTTTGACTACGGCCCCGAGGAAGTATGACGAATGGGTGTGTGGTTTGGACACGATGCATTGTATACGGCCTGATAAGAAACGAGTTTTACAGGACTCCTTTTTGATTGGTTAAAAAAAAGCATTATCGGGATGGGCCCTCGACCGAGAACTATTTAGATATCAATGTAGACTAAAAACAAAACAAAATAAATACGATATTGTTATCTTATTTGAGCTTGATTGAGCTACGCCAAATGTAAGTGTGAAAAATATCTTGTGCTTCGGTAAACCGATAAATCTGACTCTACCCGTCCCTTGAACGTGATAACCGACGGGTGGGGTCCGCCTAGATCTTTGTAAGCAAAAATGAAAATTTAGATCTTATCATTTACAGTGTCAAACACAAAACCCGAATCTACAAAAATCTACACTTGCAATTCTCTTGAGTAAGTGCACCAGTCAGCTGCTCTTGCATTGTCGATCATATGATGAGTATTTCGATATTTTGATTATACGTAACGAAAAATAAGGCTTTCAGGGCTGCGTTATTCGAAATGGTTCAACAAAATACTAAGTATTCCTATCTGTAGGCCTACTTAAGAACAGTTTTTAAATATCTTTCTGTTTATACTTAGCTGAGGATGAAACCAGACATCATAGCTTTTCATAACATTTTTAAATTTAATTACATTAGAATAGAATTGAGTTCGTTGAAAATCATAAAAAGGCTGCAGTAAAGCGTCATTGGTAACAAAATTATTGGTCTGATACTGGATTGTAATCTGTCCCGTCTCAAAATTCAAAAGATTTGATTGGTTGATTATAAATACTAATAGACATATATTATCCTAAATTGTATTCATATGAATCAAACAACCAAACGTAGGAAAAATGGATAAATATTTGATCAAAAAAGACAAATTGCTTGATGGTTCCGACACTACTACGACTGACAATGGTATCAAAACCACAGCGGGCAAAGCAACGGATGCAGTACCAAGATGCTCTGAAAAGACAGGAGTACCAGGTGACATTGGAAAAGAAGACGTTCCAAAGCAACCGAGAATAAAATTTCCAGCGAAGTCTGGTCGCCATTTTAGTAACAGCTGGTATGATCGATTTCCATGGCTGGAGTATTAAGTGTCAAGGGGCGCCCCTATTTGATTTCCATGTCGGGTGTTTCACAATACATCTGCGGGTGCATAAAAATTCATCACTGAGGGCTACACAGATTAGAAGCATGCTGTAGGTGATACTGGAAAGGGCCTCGAGAAGCATAACAATTGAGGTGTCAAAACAATTTATCCAAGATAACGTTGCCAAGACAGAAAAGACTCCAATCTTGTTCTTCAAAAACTATACGAGCAGAAATTGGCTTTCCCTAAATTATATGCACTGGCTGCAAGCGTTGCCACATTCGGTTCTAGTACCACTGTGTGTGAAAGCAGCTTTTCAACTCTTACTCGCGTTGACTCAACACAACGAAGATATATGACTCAGCTTCGCCAGCGCAATCTTGTTCTTCTTGCCTTCAACAGGAAGTGTACCCAGAAAATTAACTTGGACGTATTTGTTCAACGTTTTGCCATAAAACATACCCGACTACGTTTAAACTAAA